GAAGCAGAGGCAAACCGCTAGAAACGATGCGCTTTCCGCCGCAGTGCGAGGTGACAGCCAGCGAGAAGGGTGCCCAGCCTCAATTTAGAGAGAGCCGCGGGCTTTTGCGCTTGATGCCAAAGCTCCCTGTGGCTCCTTCAAAGGATACATCCAAGAGTCACCTGCTTTGCAAGGATTTGGATGTATTTGGATCCTCTAAACCAGCAAGTATTTTGCGTGTTTCGCTGTGTTCGTTGTGTATTCAGAGTTCTTCAAAGGACCCTGTGCGTTTGCTTTTACTGGCACCCGTGAGCTGAGGAGTGCTTCTTTTTTTTGCGGCTTTTCAGGCGCAAGTGCTGCAAGAATTGATAGACCCCCTGGTTTCGAGACAAGACCAACCTGTGGTTTTGGTCAAAACTCGGCATTGAGTGCCTTGACGCATAGCACATGGCTGTTTGTGTGTGTGTGTCTTGGGTACCCTTTTCGAGGTGGTTTCAAGGCACAGCAGAGGGACAACCGCCATTTTGAGGCGGATTTCCATGGATTTCCCAACTTGGAGACTGGAGCCCAACCCCTAAATCCCTTTTTGATCAGAAAGCGACCCTTTTTCCAGGGGAGGTCCCCCCAAAAGTGGAGCCCACCTTTGCGAACCCCAACGGTTGCCAAGGCAAAGGCACTGGGAAGAGCAGTGCGAAGCTGGGGCCTCAAGTCCGGGTGTCTCAAAAAGGGGATGTTGGGTGTCCTTTTGGTTTCCCTTCAAACCTAGCGTCAGAAAAGGGTGCTCTCAAACACGCACAGACACAGAGACACACAGACACAGACACAGAGACACAGAGAGACACACACAGACACAGAGACACAGAGACACAGAGACACAGAGACACAGAGACACAGACTCTCTCAGACGCACAGACGCACAGACGCACAGACACACAGGTGGTTGGTGGCTCAAACAGAAACCCAAAGGAAACCAACTGCTTTAGGGCACCGTTTCCTTTGTTGAATACAGGTTGGTTGAAATCCACAACCATTCCCCTCAAAAAGGACAACCAAGAAAGTAAAGCATGGTTTTTCCACCAGCAATCCAGTTTAGCAAAGGGTCTTTGGAAGGTTTTGGTGTTATTGCCGCCCCAAAACAAACTTTTCAGGCCCCTTTTGAAAGGGCCCGGCAAAGGGGTTGGTGTCCTCAAAGCAGACCCAACCTTGGCCCTAACCCTGCAGATTTTGGGGACCAAACCTCACATGACATGTTATCTGCCGGTAGTAGTTACATGATTCGTTCTACCCCGATAGCCGTTCGAGCAAACCGCTGGTTGATTAACAGGGCGGGGTATCCGGATGGTGTCGCACTTTAGTATTTCGAGGGCATCCGGAGCACTTTTTTTGGCAACCCCATGTCCACCACGTTGATGAAAGCCCGAGCCCATTTTTTTGATTCAAAAGGGCATCTGCAATGTGGAAGTGGTTTTTTCATGGTGAGCCCGGGCCCCCTCAAAAATAGTTGGACCAGTGGACACAACCCCCCACTTACATGCTGTCCAGCCTAAGGCTTGTCAAAATTCACTGGCCCCTTAAACTCACTTCCTCAGTTCATGGGCTCTACTCCCACCAACTAATATGGAGCTGCAAAAAGGCCAACTAACCAAGAGGAAAGTCGTCTTTCTACCCCGGGTCTGTGCACAAACCCATGTTAGATGGGAGGGTATAGTTTTTGGGCTGACCATTTTCGTGGTCAACCGCCAGTTTGGGTACTTTGGGGCCATGGAACGTGAGTCAAAGGCGGCGAATGTACCAAGGTCACACGCGCCGAGCTCCTGGCGTCGACGAGTAGAGGGTCACACGGCCGATTTTTTCTGGGCTTCCAGTGGAGGTGACTCGGGTTTTCACTTGGTGGACATCGAAATTCGGTGGGAGGTTATGTTTACTAACCATTTTGAAGGTGTCTTTGCACCACGATTTGAAGGGAACGATCTTGAGGATGTTCACTTCAATGGACCCAACATGATTTCCACGTTTTGTTGAGTCAGCATGTCCATGGTCAAGTTGGCGCTCTCAAAAGGGGTGACTCATAAATTTTGACAGTGAAAACGGCGAAAACCAGGGAACAATCATTACACTCATTGTCCTATTTACAGAAATTGCATACTTTTACCGTCGCTCATATGGGTGTGGTTTGCGGGGTGCCCTTTTTGTCTTGCAAAGAAACTGGAGGGTAGCGGTAGCGAAAGGGAAGGAATGCAACAAGTTTGGGCGCAAGCCATATCAATATCCGACTTCCTTTTTTTTCCGTTGTTCAACACCCTTTATTTTGGGTGGGGAGGATTCTCCTATTTGGAACAGACCCAAAGTTTCGTTTAGGTCTGCAAACACTCCTTTGAATTTGGGTTGCGTTCTCTCTCAATGGGTGAGCGCCCCAAAAGGGTTTGGCTTCCCTTTGGTATCCCCTAAAACAACCCCAAGACACATACTAGCTCAACACGCAACGGCGTGAGCCAACCTGAAAGATGGACAGGTGGATGTTCAGCAACCATTGATCGAAGCAGTAGCTTGCTTGATTCTTTACGTTGACGTGGTTTTGCGGGACTTTGGCTATGACTCATTTCGGACAAGGGGGAGTCATGGAACTTCAACACTGATTCAATTTACCAGGCTGGAACATCACCAAACGATGTTTCCCGAGATAGGTAAGTCAGGTTTAGACTGTGTCAGTGAGGCTTACCAACTGCTTCTCCCCTGTGATTGGCTTTTTGCCCAGCCACATTCAATCATGTTGTAGATCAACAAAATCCTGCACCAGTTGGTATAGTGACGATATATTGACGGTGTATTGACAATCCTTGCTCTAACAGTGCTGGGGCTGGTTTCCCCCTACCACACCCCGGGTAGAATTTAGGGGTGTCATAAGGACCTATCTCGGGGCCCCCATATTCCATCCTTCGGGTGGGTTCAAATGCTCCGACTGCTGCATCCAAGGCGGGGAGCGATGACTCGCAGGCGTGGGACGGGCGATTGATTAGCATGTGTCACAAGAACCCCCAATTGAGCAGCGCGCGAAATCTCAAAACGGCCATCTTAGTAGGTGGGTCTACTACCTAGTTGAACTAGAACTATAGCAAAGCCTCTAAATTTCTAGCCATCTAAGTGGAACCAAAAGTCGGCCGCTGCATTGTGGATTCCCGATATGTGCAATCTGTGCCCATTCGTATGCCAACTGAGTGCACTCCAAGGGCAGTTGGATCAGGCCCCTGTCCATTTCCCACACAACCCAGTTCTTCCAGCCCGGGCTCGGATGGGCAGGTGTGCCAGCTGCAATGATTCGTTTCTCGACTTGATTCGGGTGGGTACCATCCACAGAATTCACTGCTCCGGATGTGCAATGGTAGAATTAGGTGGCGTTGCGCATCGCGACAATGCTTCGCTGCAGCAAGGCCATTGGGCACTGGATGCTACAAACGCTCCTGCCATGGGTGTCCTTCGCGGTCAAATTAGGCGAAACGTGGATCTCAGGTTGGGACGCCTATGCTCACCCTGGTAAGACACCAGGCGGAGAGGCAGAGATCTCTCATCCAAGTTGGAGCCGGACGCTCAAACGTCCTGCCCACAAAATCGTCATCATTTTTCCGGAGCAGTCGCTGCAGAGGCATGTAAAGCATGCGACCTCGCAGCTAGGCCCAGTCGGCAAAATGTGCGGCTTTGAATGGAACCAGAGGCAAGCCTTTGCAAAGTCATGCACTCGCACCGCCTTTGCACGACGTGAAGTCATGTTGCGTCGCCATTCTGTGGCTGTGGGTCAATAGTTTTGGGATAGGTGCACCACCCATTTTAGTTTTTTTTTTCTTTGTGGGGATTGGGATGTTCACTAGGGGTACGGAATTTCGACCCATGGCCCTGTCTTTACACATTCCTTCCACATTCTCCACGCCTTTTTCGAGTCTCAGCCCGCCTTCCACATGGACCTAAGGACAGGCCTGGCGCATCGCAAGGACGGGCCTCCGCGGCGTTCGTGGATAGTTGATCAAGTACGACCCTCTTTGGTTTACCAGGAGTGCATCACGCCAAGGTGAGAATTTGGAGCGGTGTGTACCAAGTTATGTTCTCACATAGGTCTCCTTTTGCGGTCAGTCTGGTTGAACATACTCTGGATGGACGAAATCCTGCACCACCTAAGAAACCCTGGAATAATGATCCCCCTGCAAATACCAACAAGCCTTGTAGTTTCCTTCCCATGGTAACTCATTTCGAGGCGAAATCGGTCAGGGATTTTGCAACCATCCACGGTGACACTGGTTTCAGCGCCGACGTCTCAACCGAGACGCCTCGCGCTGGACTCGCGGAATCTTGGAAATCGCGTGAGGCCATCGGGGCGGCTAGCGCGGAAACAGGCAAGGGGAGGGGGGGGTTAAAAAAAGGGGGGGTGAGCCCGTGAGCCAGCGTAAAGACCTGGCACGAGGTGTCCAGTGGCTGGGAAATGATGTTTTAAGTGACCTCTTTTTTATGGGGGCTGAGGCCTCCGCTCCTTCCTCCCCAGGCCCGATGACTTTTGGGCGATTTGGCAGGCCATGGGGGCGTGGCAGATGAAGGTGAGCAGGGGTATTTTATTTCCCCCCCCCCGCTTGTTAAAGAAGCAGAATGCTGGAAGCTGATTGGTTGCTTGCATGAGAAGTGCCTTACACACGGCCAGGAATGAAGACAGCTGAGGCTGGTGTCGTGTGTTCTCCTGAGCTCAAAAACAATTCCATGATAGTCTGAGGGTTTTCTGGGCCATTTGTTTTTGCAGTTTTGGTTGCTGCTCACTTGATTCCAAAAAGCGTCCGCGGACAAAGGAGGAGGGTTTCAAGACCTGTTTCTTTGGCTTCCGCCCAGGACAATTCGCCAGTTATATTTGCTCTTTTGAAAAATAACACGTGTTTTTCGACAAATCAACCATTGCACACGCGAGCTTCCTGCCAGAGACAATTAGCCCAAGTGTGCAGCCCTTTTTTGTGCCGTCGTTTGGGACTCGCAATCGCATCCCCACCCTCTGATTCAACGGGGGTCACATCGCCCGGTTTGTCTCGAATTCCCATGGATTCCCTTGATGGCTAGTTGGAACCACCAACCAACAGCGGTTGGACATGAGTCCCCAGCGGTTTATGATGTCCAGTTCGGGTCCCCGGGTCCCCGGGTCCCCAACTCTCACAATCCGGGGCTGGGGGGACGCCTAGACCGATCCCTCCGATTGTCTTGTGACAGGGCCGGCTGAGCGATGTCACTTCACCGGGGACATGCAGTCGGCAGCTTAAGTCCAAGTTGAGTTTCGCGTGGTCGAAACTCGGCAGGACACTCTGAGGGAAGTTGTTTTGGGATGCATTTGTTGGTTGTGTTTGTTTGATGTAGAATTTCTAGTAGCTGATTTCTATCATGGATTCTGACTTGCAGCTGACATGAATGTTGATTCACATGAGCTCCTTTCTTAGCTATGCTGGGCTCAGCGACCTGGTACTAGCAGTCGGAAGTTTGAGAGTACAAAGTTCAATATTGTTTTGAAGGGAAACCACACGAACACTTTCGTTTTTTAAGGCGGCACATACAAAGTCAATCACCACTGCCGGTGAGTCAGCGAGCCTGCTTCTCATCAGCTTCATTACAAGCACCTCACCAGGTTCGCTGCGAAAAGCCACCCACGCTCGAGGTGTGAACCAGTGCACGCTCAAGTTTGGGGTTGGGACATGGCAGAACTCGGATTCGCCCATTCCCAGTGGGGTAAGAGCATGGTTGATGTGGAGCGTGTGTGAAAAAAGAAGGACCCCCAGAAAAAAAAAAAACAAAAAAAACAAAAAAACTCACTGCAGGTAGTGCCTCTCCCCGCAAGCCCCGGTTGGCTTGGCCCGAGACCCGGAGAGGTTGGTGAGGGGGCTGGGAAGGGTTCCCTTTGAAACTCAACCAACCAAAAAGAAACATCCTTTTTCCCCCATGGCCACTGGGCATCTGAGAGTAATAAGAGGCCATAGGTACCACACACACACACACACGTTCTACTATCAATGCATTGATCACATTCCACAATTCTCTGCAGTTTTGTACCTTTTCGAGTTGTTACATGGCTTTGGGTGGACGTCTGTAGTGTTAAGTTGTGAATTTGACTCTCCTGTCCAATTCGCAGCTGACCTGGTCCGCTGCTCCACGGCCTTTGAGCGATAGGGGGAAAAGGCCCAAGCTCGGGGCAGGTTGGCACTTGGTCCCCCAGCTAGGTGCCCTTTCTCACACCTTTCTTGGGGGAGGGTTGCCCTACTAACATAGACAGAAAAAAGTTGGTACCCTTATTCTATCCTCTCTACTGGAGGACCTAGTTGCCACTTGGGAGCTGCATAGAATTGAAGTCAATCAAAATCCTGACCCGGCTGCCCAGTGGATTCTGCCCATGTGTCCACCTTTTTTGGGTATTGGTTCAACGAACGAAAAAAGGATGCCCCTTTTTCCCCATGGCCATGCATCTGAGTTGATCTTCTGGACAAGAGACTCCTTAGACTTCATGCATGATGTTTTGTCTCTCAAAATGAAGCCCCAAATCTGCGGTTTCCCGGGATGTCCCTCCCCTCACGAGGTCGTACAAGCATGACCCAGAGCTCACGCTCTGCCCAGGTCACCCGCCGACGAGGCAAGGCAAAGCTCGGCGTCTCCCAGGAGCATCTCTCCGGAGAAGACGGCGCTGCGCAGTCCAAGACTCATGTGGCAAGTTCCTTCCAAGAGCTCCGCTGGACCTTTGCCCCCTGCGCAGCCAGATGGTCTCAGCCCGCGATGGAATGGCCGGGAGATGCAGAGCTTTCAGCCCCACAGTCTGCTTCGCGAGCGCGACCTCACGCCGCGAAGAACGCCGCGGGGGGTGGTCTTCCCGCAGCCCGTGGTGTCGCAGAGCGGCTTCGGCTTGGCCTGGGGCTTACCTCATGTGGCTGTGGGTCAAAATCAACGGTACACCACCCATTTTAGTCTATTTTAGTGGGGATTGGGATGTTCACTGGGGGTACGGGATTTTCACCCATGGCCATGTCATGAGCGTGTGCTAGCAGACTCAGTGCTCCGAGCTCCCAACAAAGCCAAACAGGGCCAGAATGTTACATGGGTCTGTCTTTTTCCGGGAATACCTTTCTTTTTCTCTGGTTTTAACGGGACACCGCCAGGAAACCAATATTTTTTTTGGGGGGATTCCCCCCGAACAGATTGGTGTCCTCTTCCCCTCCAGCCGACTTCCGTCCTTCCGAGGCCGTGCCGTGGGGGACCCCAGAGCCTTACGTAACGCGCCCAGAGCTTAAGCCATCCCCTGGCAAAGGTTCGTGGACAACATCTCCACGAAACCCACGAACTGTCATTGCCACGGTCGAGGGTGGCGACACGGTGAACATGTCCAAAAAGAGGAAGACGTGAAATTTGCCATAAAGTCTTGAGAAAATTGCCTTCTGTCCCTCTTTGCCATCTCAGGTGAAACCAGAACGGTTCGTGATGTATAGGGGCAGCCAATCAGACACCATGAACGGTGAGAACAGGATTTCGTCCAGAGTACTGGGAGGCGTTTCCACCAAGTGAAGGACTCGCTCGTCCAATGGGGCATCTTGTATTGATGAACCGGGAGTTTCTTAATGAGTCCTTGTTGTATGCAGTCCATACCTGACATGTGATTTAGTAAGAACCCAGGATTAAACCCTTTGCGGGTTAATCCTGGGTCCTTTTAAATCGTTTATGGCTTGTGGTCGAGTTCCAATTGACCAGTGTCGCAGGCATCCAGCGATGCCCAGCCACGCCCAGGTGGGAGTTTTACAGTTCTATTTCATTTGGGTGTGGGTCAAAATTAAACCACCAGGGGACCGCAGGTTTTAGGTTCCATTTTGGATACCTACTTGTGACCCACGGCCATTTGTTTTTTCTTTGACTTTTGGGGGATTGTATACAAGGTCACCCTTTGGTTACACTTTCACTTTGGGGATGACTGAACCATGAAATGTGTTGCGTTTTGCATTTATGTAGTGACTTTCACATCACCTCCTGCCAGTTTCCCTTTGGTGGGGTGATATTCGGCGCCGCGAGCCGCGAGCCGTGAGCCGCGAGCCGCGAGCCGCGAGCCGCGAGCCGCGAGCCGCGAGCGCAGGTGCCGACGGTGCTGCTTCGCCCGGTCTCGCCTGCGCCAGCGCACAGGAGCGTCAACCATGCGCTCGTGAGAGGGCCCAAGAGCCCGTAGCAACACACCCCGGTGTGTTGCAGCAATGATTGCACGATTTTCCTAGTTAGTAGGTATCCAAATCAGACCTGTCGTTGAAACATATCTTAAAACCAGAATTGCTTAAACAACCTGCTTTGGTTAATTTGGGCCAGAACCTGGTTGTTACAAATTGTGCAACCAACCCTGCGTTATGGTGTTCCATGTTTGATTCCTACAAGCTAGACTTCAACCTGTGGTTGATCTCCCCAAGAGGGAACCTACTCCGTCTATCTTGGTGGAATCACACAATACAAGCCTCTTTCCTGGACTTGTTCAGGGGTTGATGGTCATCCGCGCCCGCGAAAAGTTGGTGTTTTCAGACTTGTGCCTGCTTGGTTGGGTCGTTGAGGCTGGGTCCCTTTCATGTGGCTTCAGGACACCAGTCGCAAAACCACCATGGGGGTCGCCCGATTTGGACACATCGCTTGGTGCGGTCGCCTTCGCCTTCGCAAGTTGCCACCCTTTGGTTCATTTCGTGGGGCCCCACCGAAGGAGCCTCACTCCGGTGGCCGTGCCAAGGCACCGGTTTTCGCGCAGGCGTTTCCGGACGTGCGCCATGTTTATTGGCTCGTGCCCAAGTCTAAGTTGGGTTTGCAGCTGAAATGCTGTAGGATTTAAGTGGGAAAGCATGGAAAAGCACAAACAATTGTTTGCCTGTTGTTTAGCTAAACGGTTGTAGGTTGGGGTTGTTTCGGGCGGCCAGGGGACCTCCCGTCTTCTACGCTCAGGCGCGGACGACAAGTGCAAAATGGGTGGGAACACCTCCTATTAATACAAGGTTTCCTCCATTTTGGGGACCGCGAAAAGTGGCGATCGGTTCAATGGAAGCCACCAGTAGATGTCTTAACTTTTGAAGGGGATATCCAGTGCCCCCTGTACTGTCGACCCCATATTAATCAACCCCAGTTTATGAATAGGGGGGTGGGGTCCACTCCAAAAGTGAATATTCCAACCACATTTCACCCAGACATGGACGCCCCTCTGAAACTAAACTGGTTGGTTGAAATTCATGGGTCAACCTGGAGTCTCCTTCTGACCCTTCAAAAACGGTTGGTCATTCCCCCAAATAATGGTTGGTCATTGACCCACTTTTTTTCAAGGGTCAGAAGGAGACTCCCGGAGCCTTCGTGGGGTTCAACTTAGATCCCTCGGAGTCCACATGGCCAAGGCCCCTGGAACCGCGCCAGGCAAGCAGCTTGTGGCCCAGCTCCCTGAGCTATGCCTGACGCATCTCCGATTCGAACCCCAAAACCTTCCTCTCCCAAGGACACGTCGACTGAGTGTGGTTGAATGTGGTTGAGTTGGGTGCTTGGGGACCATTGCAAGACCAGTTTGGACACAGGGGTGGCCCACATGTGCAGACAGAAAAAGAAGAAGGGAAGCTCCATGGGCCGAACCTGGACCGCCCCCCCCCCCCCAAAATGGAACCCCAGAATCTTGGGAAGCAAGGCAGAGGTGATTTCCCCCCCCCCCCCCCAGAAATGGAAATGGTAGAATCTTGGGGGTTCCCGGGGAAAGAAAAACAGAAGCCAGGCAGAGGTGGTTGGTATTTTTCTTGTTTTTTGCAGACATGGTACAATTTGGGTTCCGTGCCAGTCCTGGTACAGGTCCCCGTTTACAGGTCTTCTCCAAGATGATCTTGTGCTTTAGGCCAGTTCATATATATATATATATTATATATATATATATATATATATATTTTTGGAATATACGAGTTCAGTGTACCCCAGATGTGTGCCAAGAAAGTGGATGGGCATGGGGTTTGGACATCGGCGACCTCGCACAGAGCGCCTCTAAATGTCAGGGGTGCTGTTGCTAATGAAATTCGCCAGACGCCAATTGGAAGGCACTTTCTTCGCATGGCCTTTCACGAAAACCAGCGACAACATCTGATCCCCGAGCCAAGCAGAGATCGTTAAAGACTGGCCCCACGTGATTGGTTTGTGTTGTCAAACCCAAACGGATGCAAGACCTTCAGATGTGCAGTGAGACAACCCGGGTCTAAGCATCGGGGCCAAAAAGGGTCAAAGTATAGCAGGTACTTGGATCCTTAGGGCAACAAGAGCAACTGCTGTTGCCGTTTGTGACTTGGTTTCCGAAAGGCCAGGTACCATAGAATGCGCTTGGTCGTGAGAACACGATCAGAGCTGCACGTGCCAGAGACAAATTAGGGATCCAGATTTGTTCAGCACGTGTAGAGCAGAGCAGCTTGTTCGAGGTTCAGCGAGTTTCCCTTTCAACAAGCAGACTTTGTTCAGCTTGCTTCGGGCCGGTGTCTATTTAACACTAGCCAGAAGAAAATTCGGTGAACGCTGTCTCACAACGTGGAATGCCAAATCTCCCTGATAGGAGATGCGCGAAAAGTTAAAGTGCGGGCGTTCGGCTAGCTTTCAGCGCATTGTGCCCCTGGTTGAGGGCAAATCTGTGACAACCAGACCCCCTTCGATTCAAAGGGCGAATCCGCACCAGGTGTTTTTGAAAAACAGGTAGTTGAACATATTCAAAGGCCTGGCCCAACCCCGCTTTCTCGCAGTTACTTGGTGAGCATGGCGGCCATGACCACTGCCGGCATTTGTTGCGTGTGGCCCTCAGTGTGGAGAACGCGCTGTTGGACACGTGGATCCCCAAACTGGGCAGTTGTTTTTCCCCTTTGGTTTCCCTTTCAATCCCCACCAAAACGGGTACTTTGCTAAACAGAAGCACGTGCCAGGTTGACCAACTCATGTGGCTGATTCTTTGGGTCCAGAATCATATCGAGCACCTGCCCAGATCCTCTGCATTCTGCTGCTGCTCCTGATTCGGCACAACATCAAGTCTGAAGCCTGAAGCTCAAGCCTGAAGCCTGAAGCCACGCGATCAGCAGCCCGCGGCGAAGTCACAAGAAATTTGGGTTCTGCCCTACCCGTGGGTGAGGGGTGGGTGGGGGTGGGGTGGGTGGGTGGGTGGGTGGGTGGGTGGGTGGGTGGGTGGGTGGGTGGGTGGGTGGGTGGGTGGGTGGGTGGGTGAGAATGATCTATCCGACCCTCTTCCGGTTTTTTGTTTGCAAGAAGCCTTGCGAGAGGCCGAAATACACACCAGGCCCTACCCATGATCTTCCTTCGAAGCCCTTGGAGGGTTCCTGCCGACTCACTTGAAGTTTTGCTCCGGCCAGGTGCATCACCACATTGTAGGCTTCCAGATCGCCATCGCAGCCTATGTGGAGATATCGAATGCTGGGCTTGACCTGCCAGCCACTCAGGAATGCCAAGCACAGCGATGTTGCGGTAGATGTTGCAGTTGTGGCAGTGCAATACATCGTGCAGGTCAGCTGTGTTTGTTGTTGCCATTGGCTTTTCAGGCTTCCCAGCCTTGAATCTACCCAACTAGTGCCGGAAGGCTACTCCATGGGGCCTGTAGGTATGCACATCACGATTTTTCCGTGTTTAGTTGGCTGGTTTTTCTGCTACAGCAACTGAACAAACAGCAGGAAGAATTATCGTGTGCTTGCCCATGCGCCTTCCGCGCTGAGGCTGTGCAGATGGCTGACGGACCAAGAGAACCACCGCACGCAGACCGAATTCGAAACCGCCTATTTGTGCAAGGCCCGCCGCCATGAAGGAAGTTCAGGTAGGTTTAGTTCTAGGCTGGAGTTGGGTTCAGGCTGGAGGATTGCTTTTGTGCTGGTTAAGTGTGAGTTTAGCGGTGTGGATGTTTGGCAGTGGCTCCTTCTATGATTTTTGATGTGGGGGAGAAGCCCTGTTTTGGTTGGTTTGACTAGGAAGCCACAAAGGAATCACTTGCCATGTTGGGTGTTCCCCCCTTTTGAGACAAAACCCCGTTGCATCTATGAGGGGGTGACCACTAGTACACCTCGCCAAATCTCCCATGTCACTTGGCACAAGAAGAATGGCTTTGGTCAAGGCCTTGGCGCCGTGCCCGACCAGCAAACACGGGACTTTTCTGGAGGTCTGGCCAATGAATCAAAAAGGCTGTGGCTCAAATTAATGGAACCCAAAATGACAGAAATTATACGGAGAGACTCAAAGACCTCGTCTTTCCAGACAAAAAGCATCGTGTTTCTTGGGATATTCCTGGCAGTGGCTCAAAGGAATGGAGCCCGAAATAGCAGCTTACCAACTGAAGCCAGCGACAAACACCAGCGGCTCCCTGGCTCTTTGATTTTGAGGTGCACCATGGACAACCAACTGGGAGGTGTCCCTTGCCAAGCTCCACGGCCTCCAACCCAAGCCGTTGGTGCAGGGAATGGTGCTAAAGTACATGAACTCCTTCTTCGCTCTCTACTATGTTGCCTTCTTCAAGGAGCCGGGTGCTCAAGGCTCACGATCGAAAATCAGAAGCCGGAAGCTCGCCACAGTTGAGGCAGGAGTGGGGGATGCTCCGCAAGGTCACCCAAAAGAGCGGCAAATCCCTCAGGGGCCAAAGGGGCAAGCCTTCGGTGTTTTTGACTGAATGGGGTTTACCATGGATGGTTTTTGCTGATAAACCCACTATGGTGGCAATTTTAAGAATTTGCGTTCCCTTCCAAACTACCAAAATTTGGTACTGTACCCCCAAAAAAAAGACACCCCCCACCACTTCCTGCTTCAGTTGTGGCTCTTGAGCCAGAAGCTTTGGATTCCTCGCGGTTTCTTGGGTCGCCCGCCGTTTTGTTTGGTGTTCCTCGCCTTCAAGCGACGCCTTCTTCGCAAGGCATCAGACGCTCTTCTCAGAGCCGATGGAGTGCCTCCGAGCGGGCCTCAGCTGCTGAGGGTAGCCTCAGCTCCAATGGACCATGGAACATGGGGCCGTTTCGGGTGGTTGGAGTCCTGGCTTGGACCCATTTTCCTTCAGGGACCCATGTCACCCGTCAGGGGACCCCATGTGAATTGGTGGGAGGGTTGAACCCTTTTGAGGTTGAAACTGACACCAAAGGGAAAACCGAGCGACTGACTGTTTTCGGGGGCAATGACCAACCCACAGCTTTCCTTGCTATGGCTCTGAAGCATGTTTGGAGTCCATTTGAGTCCATTGGAGTCGTGGGCACGTGTCGACAAAGTCCACATCCGGCACCAGTTGGGATTGGTGATGTGTAATCCAGTTTTCAATGCGAAGGAAAGGAACGAAAGACAAGTTTTGCAATTTGGGGGGGGGGGTCGGGGGTCCACTATTTTGCGACAATCGCTTTTCGGCTCAGGAGATCAATGCTTGCTGGACATGCAAGCTCAGCTGGGGCGCGGGCCGTACTTAATTACTGGACTCATGTCCTTGTGCAATGCACTTTCGCCGGGTCCTGCAAAATGCACTTGTTGGGGCTTCTCAAAATTACCTTGTGTTGGCGGGTGCCGCCCCTGCAGAATCATGTGGCTTGGGACATTTTGCAGATGTCTACTAAAATGGGCCCCGTTTCAGCCTTGCACGGCTTCAGGATCTTTGTCCTCTTCCGCCTGCTGGTGTCGAACGTGCCGACTCCTCGGCGACTGCAAGGTTTCAACATGCCCGAGGGGTGCAAGTCCCTTGTGAGGATTTGGCCCCTGTTTGACCCCAAGTCCATCCTTAGGAGGTACTTGGACCCTTTGGGTTGAGCAAGGCATACTCGAGGAGCCTCATTCACACAACCAACAAGCCCCTCGAAGGGTGCGCCGGCACGGCGCTTCCTGGGCCTGGGAGGGGATACCTCCAGGACACATTCTGTCTTTGAGCAACCACAATGGCCATGTATGCCATGTCACTAACATGACCGCGAAAACCACTCAGAAGCTTCCCCCAGAAAATGTGTCCATAGGTAATTCGTCCAGGATTGGCTTTATGTTGATGCGTTAAGCAAGCATCCATCCACATGTCGGCCACCGTGTTTGAAACACGGCACAAACTCACGTTCGAAGCAGCTTTTGCAGATTTCCAGCCGCAAGCTTGACCGGCCCATGAAGGTTTCTCCAGGTGCATCACTTGAAGGCAGTGGAGGACCAAACCCGTTCAGACTGACAGCGGCAAATTGTAGATGAGTAGATTGCTTGTTTGATCCCGTGGGTGAGTAGATCAAATTGAGTAGATTGAGTGGGTGGGTGCCCTGCCTGGAGTCTCCATGACCCTTAAAAAAGTGAGGTGAGTATCCAACATAAAAGGGGTCATGACCCCGAGTTCAAATGGTCATACTGTGGATGGACGAAACCCTGCATCACCTAAGAAACCCTGGTTTCTGATGATTTCTCTATAAATACCGACAAACAATAGTTGGTTTCAAGCATGGTCTTAACGTGCGGTCTCGGATTTCGCAACCATCCACAGAGACTCCAGGCAGTTTCATCTTTGGATTCGGCTTGCCGAGGTTCGAGCACTACTACCCCAAAGTCCGCTTGTGGTTCCGGAGTTGGTGCCTCCTCTCGAGAGATCCGGTGCTTTCAGTTGCCAGAAGGAAATCCTGGAAAACCATGGTGGGCCATAATCTAGCCCCGGGTACTTGGAGTTAGAGGATCCCATTTTTGCATAGACCTGTTCAATAGATTTGATTTTACTGTCTATGTTCCATTTGGCTTTCAGGACAAAATTCAATCAAAAGAACCTGGCGACCAGGCCTAAATTTCCCATGTCCTTTTGGGGGCGCTTGCGTAATTTTGAGTTGGTTGAAGGAGAAACCAGTCAACAGAGCCTGGCGACAAGGCCTAATTTTCCCATGTCCTTTTGGGGGTACTTGCGTAATTTTGAGTTGGTTAAAGGGGACACATCCCATTGCGAAACGACTATAGGAATTATCATCCTCCTTTGTGGTCAGCCCCCGCCCCCCATTTTTCTTGGTTCCCTTGGCCACAAGCCTATTTGGAATCGCCTCTCGCTTCTCGCGCACATGGACAGTTGGCGCTTGTCACTCCTTGCCGAAGCCTTTTACGGACATGAGACTTAATCCATGACGCGTGAAAAGCCGGCGACCGTTTTGATTTCAGGAGGAGGAATGTGAACATGAGATTCATTGATGAACTTATGTAGTTGGTTCAATGGCAAATTTGTGCGAACATTTCAAGCCCAGACTCTATTTGTACCACGTCGAGCAAGCAAATTTTGAGCATGGCTAGTGAGACTCTCAGAGATGCTCTTTGGCATGCCGGACATCAATATAGGCTTGGTCCTATAGCATTGCTGCCATTGCAATGGAGATTCCAAGTGAAGCAAGCCGTGGGCAGCAATCGTCCCGCTTGAAGCTTAGTTGCACGGGTAGCAGAGCGTGAAGCGCGGCAATCTTTGACCAGCTGCCTGATGCATGAGGTTCGGATCAACCGCCCGAGCAAGCACGAGACAAGATCACTGAGCGCGAGACGCCAAAGGAGACAGGCCAGCAACTGTCCGTAAGGATCCAAGTTCTGAGGAGGCTAACCCCTGTAATCCCAAGAATGCCATCCTCAAAGGGTACTTGGGTTTTCTACTTGTGTGATTGCTGCAATTGGCTCCGTGCCAGTGAGGCAAAAAGCGAGCAGCCGAAGATGCGCCCAAGGACACGCGCGAGCGCCCCGAGTTTACAGTGGTGGAGACTATCGAGCAGCGTGGCTGAATGGTCCTCCCAAGTCTTAAAGGTTTCCAGTGCTTATCATTGTAGCAAGAAGCCCTGGTTGCCTGTAGTGTCGAGCGCCTGGAAGCACCGGGACCCATGTGTTCAAAGAACCTGCTGGTCTCAGCAGGTTTGGGGTATCCATGCGATTCGCAGAGGCAAGTGTCGAGCGTCATCCGATTTGCAAGCAGAAGCTGGCCAGCAAGGGATAAGCCATGCTCAACCCCTCCCTGACTGAGGGATCTTGAGCAAACTCGGGCTGGGGTAATGTTCGTGTTTGTCTCAATGCACGCAATGAGGCCCCCTCCCCCCAAACAAAGAAGAAGTAAGCAACTCAGAAAGGGTACGTACCCTCGACAAAGACACCCACTGTCAGCGTGCCCAGGTGGGATGACTGGTGAGCAGTTGCGAGGAAAAGCATGCTTCGCGCATTTTGCAGCACGGGGGAAGCAGCCTGAACCAATGCAACACGTCACTTCGCCACATAGTTCCCATACAAACCAGGGCACTTACCGTACCCTGTCATCCTTCGGAGCAATGGGCATGTCTTCTTTTGCCGGACCATGTTCCATTTGGCTTGCCTTCGTACCAACCCCAAAGGGGTATCCAGCCTCAGCAACAAAAAAAGACGCACCCATTTTTGGGACGCAACCGCCGTTTGCCTTGAAACTCTGCGCGCAGTTACTATGACAACATGAGCTGCTCCAGCTATCTCCACGGCTGCGGCCCCAGTGGACCATCCTGTCCCAACTCTCAACAGGCAGGGAATGACTTAGGTGCGGTTCCTGAAATTTTGAGGCTCGATACCGTTTTGGGGTGGCTTCAAAGGGGAATTACAGTAGAGGGAAAGTACACCCTACACCGGGAATTAGAGGGAAACCTTGTCCATCGGCCTGCCCCCCCTTCTTCTGCCTACCCACAAAAAAGGGGGAATATGTTGCAACAAACTGAGCATCAATCGTTGTGACATGCCATGCTTGTTTTCCTGGTGTGAAGTTACGCTAGATGTTTTTGATCATTTGTGGCAAGGAGAGCATAATGGTCAAGTTTATCAGGAGGCAGAAAAGGGAATCGGTGCATTCATGGTTGTTGTTGGGAAACATTTTACATTTTTGCTGATTGTGGTTTAGTGGTTGAATTCCCCACTTAACTGCTAACATTTTAGAATTTTTGCTCGCCAAACCCAACGTCAACCAAGCATTGGAGATTTTCCCCCAAGCTCCGAGGGCAAACTCTGGAGCTGGCCGAGATGTCTGCCACCGAGCAGCAAGCCAAGAAGGCGGGCCGCGATTCGAAGACGAGCCGTGGCCACGCGTCTTTCGGTAGGGAAACCGCTCTTGCCTGGTTTTAAGGGGCAACCAAGGTGTGTCTTTCTGCAAGCAAAATTGTTGGTTGATTTGAAGGGGAAAACCAAAAGGAAAACCGCCAAAGAGTTGTTTGTGCTTTGATTTCCTATTTCAGGACACGCCCTTGTGTGATTGTAATACATTTCGTACTTTAAGACACGCCCATGTGTGATTGCCTGTATTGCAGGAGAAGCACCGTAACTTCCAGCAGTTCGATGAGATGCTTCTCACGCCAGAGCCTTTTCGCTTTTCGCCCGTGGAAAAGTGGGCTTTGGGGCCAATTTCTGCGATGCCAAGAAAACAACCCTTTCAGGTGACAAAGTAGTCGTGGCATACTTTGGTATCACAGAAAGGGGGGTGTTTCCATGACCATGCGGGTATGTGTCGAACTAGGGGCCCAAAATGATGTTGTGTCCATTCCCAGTGCTTCCACGGAAGGCCAATATAGGTTCAATTATAGTGGGTAACCCTTCAGTATGGCTACCGCTAGGTGTTACATCATGGCTTTTCTTGGCAGTCTACCTTTTGTGGCGAAACGCCTGGAAGCACTGGGTTTGGTTTCCCTTTGCACCAGCCCCAAAAGTGTGCCCTCGAGGCATGGCTTTGCGACGCTTTTCGCGGTGGTTTCTCCCTGGGTGTGCACGGCGGTGCATCCGGCGACGTGTTTTTTGCTTGCAGCAAAGCGGGTTTACCCCCGTTGGACTCCCAAAAGGGGGGGGACATGGGGAAATAAGGGAACCCCCTTAAGGCTTTTCACACCTCAAGTCCCTCTATTTTTCAATAGAGGGGGGTGTCTTTGTGCTTGAGGGAAACTGCTCTGTTTTTTTTCTGTGGTTTTAAAAGGGAAACCAAAAAGGAGAGCAACAATTTTCGGGGATTCCGATTTTGCTACAAACCCAGAAAGTAAACCCAGAGATGGAGATCACCGCCAGACATTGCTCGCGGTTCTGGTGGAGATTTGGGTGGACATGAAGAGCCCGCGACCCGGGAGACGAGGGTTAGTGCACCCTGCCCGGTGCTTCCAGGTATGGCTGCCTGGCTGTGGGTCAAAATTAAACCACCATGGAACCACAGGTTTAACCCATGTTTCCATTTACCAGGGTTGCCATTTTGGGTACATATTCTTGACCCACTGCCACCTCTAGGTTCTACATCATGGTTTCCCCTGGTTACCCACTATAGCAGTAGCTGGAAGCACTGGGCTGGTTGACTCAAAATCGAGGTGGTGTCCTTTTCAGATGGGGGCCCTTCACTTTTCGGTGTTCCACTGATAAACAACATCCTGCAGTTTGCAGGCTTATCCCTGTTCATCCATTGCTGGTGCGAACTGGATTTGCCCAACCGCAGGATGATTCCGGGTTCGACATGACCGGAATCCTGAGGTTTGTAGTGAAGGGTGCGTGTTTGGGACGCTGCTCAGGTCTTCTCGAAAATCGACAGCGGCCCTTCCCAGCGCGTGCTCGCAATAACGAGCAGCCGCCTCAGCTTGGCGCTTTGGTAGCCATAAGGCTGAAAGCTTCCATTTGCTGAAATGAGTATTTGTGTTTTCTTTTCACTTGGTTTTAAAGAGAATCGATTTCACGACTGGACAGTTTCTCAAATATATTTTCCCAGGCGGCTTAAGCACGCAAATGAAAGAAATGCGTCACCTGATGAATGGCATGTAACTTCAACCCCAGGTAATCGATCCTGGCTCTAGTCCCACCATTTGGGTGGGGGGGTCCTTATTTCTAAGACAGCCCCGCATGTAGGCAATACCCAGATTTGTCCTCCACATGGGCCAAATGTTGGCATATGTTACCTACATGGATTGTTTGGGAACTGTCAACACTACAGGGGCACTGCATGTGTTTTGTTCAATGGCCCTCTTATTTTGCAGATTTCCCCCCCATTCCCCCCTACTTATTCCCCCCCCCCCTTTTGTGGGGTCCAAGGGTCCAAATAAATAAATGTTTTCAACAAAAATCCCCCCCCCCCCCCCCCCCCCCCTGTTTTGTGGGGTCCAAATAACTCCCTGGCACAAAACGACCTGGAGGCCCTGGGGCACCGCCTTCGATGCCTACGGCCCGCCGCCCAGAATCGATCCATTTCCGCCTCGGCTTCCTGGGCTCAGAAGCGGGCTGCGGGGTAGCCGGTGGTAAAACCAAAAACACCGGGGGGCTTAGGAGAGAGAAGCACGGGGCTTTCAAAAGGAGAGGGAACCAGAGGCCCGGGTTTCACAAGGAGTCTTGGGGAGTGGTTTTGGTAAAAGGAGGCGTGGAAGCCATCTCATGTCATACATGGCAGACCGAAAATCCACATGTACCTGATGCCTAAAAGCGCCTTTCATGGCAATTCGGTTGCCACCTTCCCAGGGCTAATGATACCACCGACAAAATCGTGCACCAGTCGGGATGGTGAAGCCCTATGAAAACCGGGATAACCCCCTCCCAACGGGTGCGAATCGGATTTGTGCATCGGCTTGAAGGTGCTGGTTTCGTCGCGCGCGCTTTTGAGTTGGCACACTCTAGGCGTTCTAGCGGCCCTCACCAACGTGCTCACGCTCATCTTCACATCAACCCAGTACTCCGGGTGGACAGCTACAGAGAAGGCAACTGAATTATTTGTCAGTTTCTGGAGCCCAAAAAGGGTCCCTCAAAGGAAGGTTCCTCTAAACATTTGGCTGTTTCGGGATTCATGTTGTTGGGTAGTGGACACCTTTGGATGGAATGTTTGATGGATGTTTGCAAAGTGTGGATGACCAAAATCCATTGTCATTGTGCCAGCTCATCCTCTTCGTGTTTCTTGAGCACGTGATATTCGGTGCAAAGCGGCACCCTTAGACTTGCTCTCCTGCAAAACTGACATGAAACCCAAGAAAGACGTGTTTTCTGCCACACCATAATTGGGGGAACTTCCCCCCCGTGAGTTTCATGTCAATTTGGGGAGGATGCGCCCAGTTGTCCAGACCAATTTGCACGCTGAGGCTCTTCGTCACCATGGTGTTCCCTCAGGCCGTCGGTCACAATGGCTGGCTCGTTTGTTCTAAGAACTTGAGCGCAGCCCTTTTTTGGCATGGCTCAGGGAAACCAACAGTAAAGGGAAAGAAAAAACAAAAGCGGTCCAACACCATGTTTTTGGCGGTGTTCAACTCAACAAAAAACATAACCTGCCAAGGCCATCTCTTGGGCCGTGACGCCCAGATGACCCTTTTCAGGTGCCGCACACCGTGGAGGTCCTGTCGCTGAAGCAGGACAGCATGGTGCATCGCTGCCTCGAGGGCATCAAGGATCGGACATGGGTTCGGTTTGGTCGTTTGGCTTGGTAAACCGCCTACGCAGTGACTAGTGGAGGTCTTGGGTTTGCTAGGCTTTGGTTTGCCTGGGTAAACCTCTGCGTAGTGGGTAAACCTCTGCGTAGTGTCTAGTGGAGGTCTTGGGTTTGCTACGCTTTGGTTTGACTGGGTAAATCCCCTGCCTAGTGACTAGTGGATGTCTTGGGTTTCCTAGGCTTTGCCTGCCCAGCGTCCAGTGGATGTCCAGATGTCTTGGGTTAGGACAAGGATTTGGATCGGTTCAGTACGCCCCCAAAGCCTGAAGAGTGTGTTTGACAAAGTGGGTGTGTTCTTACAGGGGCCTTCGCCTGTTCCATAAATTGGAGGCGTCTGTTATCAGACTAAGCCCATTCAATGAATGATGCCCAGCAAAGAGTCCCTAGTTACATGTCATGCCCTGGCAACCTATACCTTTGCCGGGGGCCTGTCCTTTTTCGCGGGTGACCCTCCCCTGTGCATGGACGAAATCCATTTCGCACCTAAGATCCTGGAATGATGATTCCCCTGTAAATACATGTAAATACCAAACACACTGGTTTCCCATGGTTTCTTATCAGGTGATGCAGGATTTCGTCCACAGTATGTAGCCTTTGGGAAGCAGCTGAAGCGTCGGCTTCTCGCCACCCGGGTGTTCGGCCCAAGCGTTTCCGTTGCGGAGGTCGAGAGTCATATGGACTTCAGCCTCTTCCGGGAAACCCGTGTACAGGAAGACGTGCAGGCTGGGACGGCGGAGCACACCTTTCTTTAGGTTTTCTACCCCCAACCCAAAAAAAAAGAGAAGTATGAAGCACAACACCCAACTGGAAGTTGACGACACATTTGGTTTGAGGCCGAAGGAATCCCACTTTCTCGTGGCCAAGTGGCCATGGGGATGGGAATCTCGGCTAGCACAGAAAGGTTCGTTTTGCTCCAGAACCAACGCAGCCATGTTGGGAAGGATCCCCAGTTTGGACGCATTTGCGTTTCACGGTGCAAGAAACAACACATGACGCCTGTGCAAGATTGGCTGTGCCAGGTCTTCGGCTACGACTTACTAGAGACCGAAGAGGCACGGCTGAGGTTGTGTGAAATGGCCAGACCTCACAGTGCCATGGTGAACACACCCCGTTCCTTGGGGGTTAGGGATGGTCCTGAAGCCTTTTAAGTGACATTTACAGAACCATGATCAGGAGTTCTGCCATGGGATTTATGGCCACAACCCACCCAATGGAGTTTTAGCCATGGCAGATATGGTCATGTGGGGAAAGGTTCTGGACAGAAAACACAATGCCACCCGGCATGAAGTGGTTGACCTGCTGGCGCCTGGTCTCGCTGCAACCGCAGGCCGACATGACATTGTCGCTGCAGCAAAGCGGCAAGTCCATGTGAGCCCAGAAAAAACGCCGAAAGGTCAGCTGGTGGCCTCTTGTTTTAGGCTTGTTTTTGTGTTGTTCAAGGAACTCACTTGCATAGTTCTTGGACTTTATACTTTTTGGCGCTTTTTGGGAGGACCATTTCAGTGTTACATAAACAGTTTGGGGCTTGTTTTTTCGGGCAGTGAGGAAAATCGAGAGGGAAATCCCCGAAACGACACCCAGGGGCCCAACAAGCCTCGGCTCGCCAGGTACCAAGGGGTGATCGACGAGGTCGGAACTCTTCGCGTGAACATTGGCATGCCAGTGGGTCAATGAGGCCTGGCACTTGAGTGTGCGAATTTTGGACACCTTTTCGGGTTGATACTGTGGATGGACAAAATATGTTCCAACCGCTTTGAAACTATGGTTGAAACCATGAGGATTGTTGGTATTCACAGGAAGTCATCATTCAGAGTTTCTTTAGGCGATGCGGGGTTTCGTCCATCCACAGTAGGGCTGGTCATGCAGGATCATGCAGGCCTTAATGAATTTCGACAACGAGGATTCCTTAGGGAACCAGGACCATGGCCATTTAAATGAGTTTTGACCAACGCTTGACAGTCATTCCATTCTTGTTTGATATTTGTTTTTGTTATGTCTTCCTTTCGTGTGTTGTTCATTTGTTACTTTGTTACTGTGTGTGTTTGTTTGTTTGTTTGTTTGCTTCTATGTTTGATTGTTGGTCTTTCTTCTTTCTTTCTTCTCAGTGTCTTTGTTTGTTGTGGCTGGCTGGTTGTTGATTGGTTTGTTGCTTGCTTGCTTGCTTGCTTGCTTGCTTGCTTGCTTGCTTGCTTGCTTGCTTGCTTGCTTGCTTGGTCGGTCGGTCGGTCGGTCGGTCGGTCGGTCGGTCGGTCGGTCGGTCGGTCGGTCGGTCGGTTGGTTTTTTGGCAGGTTAGTTTGCTGGTTGGTTGGCAGGTCAGTTTGTTGGTTGGTTGATTGGTTTGTTGGCAGATGAGTTGGTTGGCGTGTTGGTTGTTTGTGGATTTTGTGCTTTGTATTTTTTTTATTGTTGTGTTTTGCAAGGTGCTGCTTGCGTGCCTTGGTGCGTGCTTGCGTGTGGGCATGTGCGTTTTAAAAGGGCAGGGTTGACATTCTCTGCAATTGTGCTTGCCAGGAAGCGCCGAGCTCCAGTGATTTTGCAAAGGCCATGTCAAGGTGAGACGCAACCAAAGATATATACTGATGGTTCAAGTTGAGAGCAAAGAGCTGTTTCCAAAAGGTCTCCTATTTGCAGCAACCCGCCAACTCCCACCTTGAGCCATCGTGTCACCCCGGCAATTTTGACTTCACCTTGCCATAAATCAAATTGGCTCAATGTGATGTCAAGTTTGCCGATGTCCCTGCTGGCAAGAAGCCGCACTGTACGCACTTACTCTGATCAATGCCGACTGCACGTTGGTGTCCCTAATCCCACGAGCTAGGCATGTTTACCAGACTATGTTGTGGATGACTGGTTGCATGATGGTATGCGGGGGTGCGGCCTTCCTCGCTTGCGCTAGAGTGAGCAAGACATAAGAATAGCTTCCAGGAGAGCAAAAATGAGGGTAACTCCTTCAAAAGCTACAAGCAACTAGTGATGCCCGTTGCCTGAACTGGAGGCCAAGGGCACTGCGAACTTCTGTAAGGCAGAAGGAAGCTGCATCCTGTGCTGACCTGGTCAGTCACTCGCCCGGGCAATGCAAGCCGATGCATCCAAAGGGATGCGCGTCGCTTTTATTTTGGCCATTCCTTCGTGGGCAAAAGCGTTCAGCCAGAGCGGTATTTATTGTGGAAGACGCATTCCAGAACCCAACCAAAGGCAAGGGCCCAAGCCTTATGCAAGGCAGCCGATACATCCATCCCTTCTGTTGAGGTGCTTCTTTCTGGTGGGGACAATCTGATTTGCCTGCATATTTGCCTCGCCGTGTACCAGCGTGCTGACAGCTTGTATCAGGCCTCTTGGAGCCTCAAGGGAAGGCGCAACTCGACGCAGCATTGTGAAGAGATCAAAGGGCGATTCCGAGACGCCGGCATTGTTTGCATGCCCGCAACTTAGTCCCTCCGCTTTCTTTTCCGCACAACGTGATCAAATCCGGACTCCAGAGGCTGAGCCCAAGTCCGGACTGACCCGGCCAGAGATTCTGGGGGGAAGCTTCCCTTTCTTTGCAAGGATCCTGTTTGCCGGGAAAGCACCAAAAACCATGGGAAGCACAGCATGAATGTTGCAAAGAACGATTGGACAGAATGGGGAGTCAAGCCCTGGAGAGATCTGATATTTCGGAATGCGCCGAAAGTACTGAAAGCGCATTGCATTTTGTGCATTTTGTGGGCTCCCGCCCAGGCATCGGGCAAATCGACCCAAGTGGGGTCGCCCTGCACTTGCCGCTGCTGCAGCCTTCACCGGTGCTGTCAGCTTGAGGCGAACGAGCTAAAAAAAAAAAACACCCCCAAGCCGGCCGTTTCTGGGGTATTTTTGGGGTAGACTATGAAACAGAATCTGAACATAGTGCGGATGGACAAGATCCGTTCGCGCCAGTTTGAAACAATGGGAAACCATTGCTTGTTGGTATCCACAGGGGAATCATCATTCCAGGCTCTCTTAGGTGGTGCAGAATTTTGTCCATCCGCAGTATCATTGCAATGCCCCAAATGTGGGACAATATGTTAGTAGGCCATGCTGGTAGCTAGCTTTGCTAAACGCCAGAGCAATTCCGAGTGGTTGTCTCCTCGAAACATCACTACACTTAGTTTTAAAGCACCCCGGCAATTATTTCAGGCCTCTATATTACCTGGTTTCATGGGGGGTTCTAGTAAGGGCTATAAAGGCCTGACCATGTTGCTAGAACCAACACAAACCTGGCATGAACACCTGGATTATCTGGCTTAAGTTTGGGACACCAGACTAAAAGGGGTCCAAACTGAATTTCCAATGTCCAAAGAACTACGAATGCCCTTGTGGGCAGCGGGCAGCACATTGTATACATAGTATTAGTATGTGTTTGCTTGGGACACTTTGGTTGGAAAGTTATGTCCAAGCTTTGTGAAGGCTGGTATTTCTGAGGGAAGTGCTGAGTAGTCACAGGTAGCCCACCCTGTGAGGCAAGCTCCGACTGGGCTTGGCACAGAAGTGTTCGTCCGACCTGCAATGGCTTCGCGGGGCCAGAGCCTTACCAGTTGTGGGTCAAAACCGTTTTGGGATCCCATTTTGGGCTAGGTGCACCACCCATTTTAGAACCTATTTTAGTGGTTGGATTGGGGGATGTTCACTGGGGGGGTAACCAGGATTTTGACCCATGGCCAGTTGATCGCTTGCCTTTGCGAGTTATGCGTTTCGTCGGGCACCGTATCAGACTGCTTAGCCAGTGGACATTCACATTGGTGGTCTGAGGCTGCGCTGTCATTTACTGCCCATTTTGTGGGGTAGACCGGAGCGATTTTGGGGGGTTTCCCTCAACTCGCTCCCCCAACCTGCGTGCGGTTTGCCAAAACAATGAGTTTGGGAACCAAGCAGCAAACACCCAAAGGCTCACCTGTGACAAAGGCTGCGGACGTCAAGAAAACAATTTGAGTCCAGTGCTGGTTCCTTCGCAGCAAACTGCTGGTTCCCTGGGCACTCAGCATGAGAAACATGTGCGCAAGGCGCACAAGTAGAGGGTCTGGGGGAATAGAGGAAGGGGGGACTACCCAAGTTTCAGCGAAAGACATGGGCTCCAGATCCCCCGATCTTCTCCTGTGCGCCTCTTTTCGCAACAGAAGGGCCCCTCATGGGTGGTGTGTTTTTTGTTTTTTCACACACAGGGATTTGGTAGTGGTTCGTTTTTGTTGTTTGTTTTTGTTTTTTGGGGGGTTGGGAGTTAGTAGTTTGTTTTTCTTCCCGCAATCCATTTTGGGGTTTTCAAGGGAACACCGTAAGGATACGGCCAAGAATCTTGGGCAACCCAGCCGGTCGCTGAGGCGTTTCCTCCGCGCGTCAGGCTAGCGAAGAGGCGTGGAGTCATGCGAGGGACTCCGCTGTAGATCATGCTCACTGCTTGACTGCTATGGGGAAGGACAAAAGTAAAGGGTGGCTGACGAGGCAGCAGACGAGCTCTAGAGGAAGCTCATTTGGGGGAAAGGACCACCTTTCTAAATCCTGAAGCAATCAAGGCAGTCCCCGGCACCACTTGACTGCTATTGGGCAACGGATCTTTAGACTTTAACTTTTTGGTTGAAATCAAGTTGGGTGTTCCGTAATAAACCCACAGAAAGTTAACAACTTTTTGCAGAGGGGTCAACAGCAACCAAGACTGTTGCCTGCTGGATTATACTCAGGGATCATACCAGCACCCCCCCCCCAACACTGCTTTTTGGACTGCACCTGGTATTTTGGACATGGATGAAGAAAAGGTTGGACGCCCAGAAAGGGGCCGCCAGCTTCCTCTACAACGGTTTGCGGGGTTTTATGTTAGTCTGGGCAGAACTGGGTCTGTTTGTTTCTGAGGCTACCATTTTTGGTGCTTGGTTTAAAGGAACAGCAAAAGCAAACCACCAATTTGGGGTCCCCGAAAGAACTACGGACACACAAATTGTGCAGCTGCTTTTGTGCTTGCTTGAGCTGTGGCGAGCAGCTTTCGGACTGGACCAGGCTGCAGTTGACAGGGCAGCGCGCTCGGCAGGGTATACGTCAGCAGTGCTTCAAATCAATTCCCATTGGCCAAGTTAGAAAGCGGCTCTACCTGGGGTGAGGATTATGATGGGATGGTAAGGGCTATCATTTGATCCTTTCCCAGCCTCTGGGTAAGAATCAACCGGCCACGGGTTTGCTGGTGCTCACATGAGGTTTGTTCGCACGGGTTAGAAACCCTCTAGTTCGGGGCTTTGTAGCCCGCATGTTGTTGCAACAATCCTACATGGCGCGGGGGGAGTGGGGAGGGTTTTGCACAGACCTCACGCCGAGCGAATGACCGCACGCTTGCCAAGGGCAGTGGTACATCAATCCCAACCAAGAAGACTGAGGCGAGAGTGTTGTGATGAAAGTCAATACACACATTTCGATGCGAAGGGTATAGATATACGTTTGTATGTGTCATGTATAATTATGTTTCGAATGATAGTTTTTTGTCTCATGCATATGTCATACGGAGATGCATGTGGATCCAACTATATGTTGGGTTGCCCCGAACTTCCACCTTGGACTTGCGCGCAGGATGTAGCAACCCAGCACGTTTTCGAACCACTCAGCACTCCCGCAATTCCGCAGGTGTTGTCAACCTTTGAAGCGCGACATGTCTAATGCATGTTTCCAAACACATACGCCA